CTCATGTTGGGAAAGCTTTTTGAGAGAGAAGTTGCCAATCCCAATCAACTAATTACTAAGATCACAACTTGCACAAAGAAGCCAATTTTGACGCAAAGAAGAATCTTCTCGGGCATATTACCTTTTAGTGATTTTAAGATAACTTAACACGCAAGAAGAATTCACGTTAAAAAAAATTAATAAAAATGTGGAGTCAAATCATCGGAATTAAGTTAAATTCAAAATTTGTATTGGAACTAATTAAACTTGAAAATTGATTTACAATTTTATGCATGATTTAAATTTTTGATTATGGTTATGGAAACATGGCTGAGAACCAGAACCAGTTTTGTAGAAAAGAGACTGATCCTTCACTCTCGGCTCAAGCCATGGGGGAGCATCAGCGGATTGAAACCTCTGTTCCATACTTGGCTCAACCATATGATCAAAATCATCACAACGTTGAGAGTTTCAAGGAAAACGAATACGCTTACGACCATATCATAAGTACAATTGATTTTGAAGGTTTAGCAGAAGTCACAGATCCCTCACAACTTCCAATGGAGCTTCAAGAAGAATACATATTGGGTCATCAACATCAACACTTCTCAATGGAGCAACAACAAAACCAGATTACTGGACAAGCCACACATCTCTCTTCACAGCTTCCAGTTATGATGAATCAAGCCGTAGATGAACCGCATTATTGTCATCAGCCATATCATCAGAACAATGATCTTTCAGTGGTTCCTATGGAGACTCAACAACAAGACAATGTGGTCGGAAACTTGGCTTCTCAACTACAACTTGAGGAACAAGACAATGTTCCGGTGGTGACTATGAATCAAACCACAGAACAGCAGCAACCTTGTGAACAAGCCACTACTCACAACGAATTGATAGAAGAGATGGATCCAGAGATTGCTAGTTTATTACTTGGACAAAACACAACAGAAGAAGATGCTAATTTTTTGGCTACATTAGGAAACTTTTAGTGTTATGTCTTACTTTTTAAAAATATTAATTTATATTCACATTTTGGCACCTCATGATGAACATATTTATATATATACTCTGTATAAAGTTGAACAAGAGGAGGCAAAAGTTTAAGCAGATCCTAAATATTTCTCAGAGACCACAAACAACCAGAAAATAAGTAACTGAACTGAAGAACAACACCCAAAAATTAAACAGTTTCTTTTTTTTTATCTTGGTGATGCTTCACTTCCATCTTGTTTTATTACAGAACACAAAACCTGTCTTGAGATGTAACTTTCAAGCTCTCTAGAGACTTCAGTTAGCTTCAAGTCAAAGTTACTTCTGTATTTTTGCTTCGGTGATGGCACAGTTGAAGATGAAGAGCCTGAGAACCTTCTTCTTGGGCTTGAGAATCTTCCAGGTGAAACCTGAAGCTTTACTGCTGCAGTTGTTGATGGTGGCAACACAGTGTTGTTATTGTCAGGATCTAACAAAAGTCCGAATTTCGTCTCTAATGGAAGTGGCTTAAGGGAATCTTCTTCAGCCCCGGAAACTGGTTTCGCCTTCCTCAGTCTTTCCTTTGCTTTCTCAGCTGCTTGTAGAGCCTTTTCACTGCTTAATGTTATCAGTTTCCATGGGTTTATGCTTACATGAAAACCCGGTTTCTTGTTGATCACCGTGGAAGAAGGTGAACGTTCATCTCCTTCTATTTTTATCGACAGTCTATGCTGATTCTGTTAAAACATAACAAAATCTTTGAGAATTCCTGAGAGTGACAACTTGGAGAAAAGAGAAGTTGAATGATAGAATCACCTCATTTGCTTTCCTGCACATAAACTTGGAGATAAGCGTTGGTCTTGATCTTTCCGGCGAATCAAAATCCGAGCTTTCATCTGAAGATGAATCTAATTCATCAAAAGGATCCACTTCCGTAAATTGATTCTCCTCCCTCATTGCTAATATATAGTCATATGTTCTCATCCCCTGCAAATATTTGAGCACTACTTGTCAAATAAAGAACTCTAAATCAAATTTGTTCTGCTGCAAGAGCTACCTTTCTTATGAGAACTACATGGAAGAGGAAAAGCTGCCCCATGGCGGCTGAGCCATAGGCCGTGAACAAGACCAAGATAATCTGTAATAGCACAAAAACATTATAACCTCATAAGCAAAAAGAAGTTGCATTAGATGTGATGAGGAAAGAAAGCAAATGTACGAAATTATACAGATATTGTAGCAAGAGCCCATTGAGGGAACTCTACATAAAGCCTTCTCTTCAAATCTATTTCCATCCCTTTCTTGTCCACAAAACATCTGACAAATACGGCAATGGCAGTTCCACCCTCTATTATTAGCTGTTGCAAGAAAAGCCAGTCTATATCAATGAACCAGAACTTTTCAGGTTTATGTTTGAAGTAGTTGAGAGAGCAATACACACCATGAGCAAGACGAAAACCATCAGGAGTATGAACGTCGTGTAATTCTTTTTCCCAACGCAGTTATTAAGCCACTGAGTACACCACATATCCACAGAGAAAACTTATGTATATAGATCCAAGACAAAACAACTGTTTCTGAAAGTGTAAGATTCAGCAAAACCCCAAAACCTTACCCTGCAATGATGATCAAACCCTTCGACACACCGGTTACATGTCCTGCAATGCTTACTGCTGCGTTTAACCTAAACAAAACACACAAAGAAACGTCTAAATAAGTCCTAGCTTTCATGAAAAAAGTGAGTGACAATGTGATACTAGTGCACAAACCTCTAAATCACAAAGTGAACAATAAGAGATATCATCTTCTTCCTTAGGATCTGGTGTAACAGAATCATCATCTTTCATAACAAGTGGAAATGGAAGGAGTGGTTCTAGCTGCACACTGCTTTTCCATGGATCCAAATACGTACGCCTGAGAAAATTTCTCAAGATCTTTCTCTCTAATCTCCTGAAAAACCTCACAACAACTTGACTCAAAACAACTTTGAATCTCAGCTTCATCAAGACTGCTTTGGATTTAGCCTTTCTCTTTTTCTTAGCACTAGTCTTATCCGTAGGATCAATCGCAGTACACCTAACGAACAAAACTATAACCGAAACCGCCTGAAAAAGGAAAATTCTCAATAAACTCAACACAGAAGTTCTTCAAGATTCTATGACAAGAAGAGAAGTTAAACAAATACAACTTCTTAAGCTTACTTACCACAAACGAGTAAACCGAAAGAAGCGAGATATTAGCTATTCGATTCCCCAGGAAAAACCCGAGGAAGACATAAAAGGCTGCCACCAGAACACTATATATAACAGCTCCCACAATCTGCACAAAGCAGTAACACAGCTCAATTTTAGTAACCAAAATCAAAAGAAGAGAATCTGCTACCGATTTAATCAAAAGTCAAGATTTTTAAGCAGAATCAGAAATCCACAAAGTAGTTTTTCCCAACTACACAGCTTACACTAGCTAATCAAGCTCACTAAACACAGAAATCGATAGATCAACCCAAAACTGAGAGATTCTCAAGATTTGCAAATAAAGTAAGAAACTTTCTGAAAAAAGAAGCTGAATAAATTGATAGTTTCTGATTTTGAAACCTGTAATGGGTGTAATGGTCGTTGCCAACCATGGCGTCGTCTCGTCATTGTAACTCTAAAAAGTTTTGATTTTTCAGATCGAACAAATCACTCAGAATATCTTCATGAGTCCATGGCTCCTCTTCTCAGCTTCGGAAAATTACGGAGACAAAGACTACTTTGGTTTTTATTCAAAGGGATTACTAATTAATAATGAATGTTTGTGTTTTACTTTCTTCTTTTGGTTTTGTGTTTTGTTTGTATTAGAGGAAGAGAGAGAGACCCCAACGGTCGGGTTTTCAAATTTTGAAGTAACGCTCGGATCTGCTTTACTCATCGGACGACTCTTGAGCTCTTTTAACGTGACGGATTTTAATTGCCCCGTTTATGTTTTAAAACGATATTGGGCCTGAATTGGCCTCCTTTGCATTTTATGGGCCGCTTTTCTTCTTGTAGATGTCAAATACTGTTTATACACATTACTTTGTTCGTTTTGTAATCATTGGCAACAACTACCAACGACTAAAAATCATATTTTTATTTAGTGATCATTGACACTTCGATCAATGACTAATCTAGTTTTGTTTAGTAGTCGTAACTTACTAAGCAGAGGCGGATGCAGAGATAAAATTTATAGGGGGCAATATTAAATTTTTCAAAGAGTTTGAGGGTCAAAACTGCAAATAACAAGGGGCATAACTGAAATTGTTTAACATTTGCATTAAAATTTTAAAAATTAGCAGTGGCATCTGCCCCCCTATTACACTACGTGGATCCGCCATTGTTACTAAGTGATATGTTATAGCGATTTACTTGTGTTTGTTTATAGTCACTAGCGGTACTGCTGATGACAACAAATTTCAGTGATTCATCGCTAATTTAAAATTTAAAATACAAAAAAAAAATCAGCAAATAAGATTTTTAGTCGTCAGTCGCTACAATTTTTTTGCGAATGAATATATCATTGTGCTAAGAACATGTGCAGTGGGAGGTTCTTACAAGTGTTCTCAAGAATATAAAAAATGAAAATAATAAAAAGTAAGAGAGAGACATGAGCATGGGTTCTCATATGAAAACTTTTGAGAACATCTTGAGAGACTCCTGTCACACATGGCAATATGCAATTGGTTTTAGAAAAAATTTATTACTTAAAATTTAATTATACAATTAAACTAATTTATGTATATTATAATAATATATTTTGAGAAACTTTAAGAGAATCTTCCACTGCATATGCTCTAACAACTCGAAGATGCACAAAATTTAATTATTGTTATGGTCATGAACAACTGCAGTACGAACAATAAAACATATACAGTATTGATCCTTGTCGTCATTAGTACCCTTGGTTATTATATTTAATACCTCTCCGGATATCTTATTATCAGTAGATATAACAAAATTGTTACTCATATTGCATATTCTTTTTTTTTATTTTTTTGGTGCATATTAAACATATATATTTAAGATTATTATCTTTAAGATATATACATATACAGAGTGTGATTCATAAGAACTAGGAAGATAAAAACATTCACCGCTCGTTCTTTTAACATGGAAACAAAAAATAGCCAAAATTGAGTCCTGTAAAAAAAACCTATAAGAGCTCTGCCCTCTCCCTCCATATCGTTCATATATAATGTACACCAAAAAACTGAAGATACATATAATATATAATATATGTGTAATAATAATATATATGATAATAACATATATATATATAAGAATATAATAGTACTAAATTAGTTTGTAGAGAAAGTGGTGCAAGACTGAGGAAGCTGTGGCGAATCTCCGTTACTGCTCCCTCCACTTTTCGCATCAACCTTATTATTATTAATATCATTATTATTATTGTCGTTATTACCTCCTCCGATAATGTTTGAGATCGCCGCCGCAAGGGCCGCCGTGAAATTCGGATCCATAGCAATCGCAGCCCTAACTGAATCGACCATTTCACGTGGTGGGGCTTGTGGGCCAAACAAATTAGGTATTAATAACTGCTGGTTATTATTATTCATAGACCTAATTTGATTAGCGTTTGGTATAAACGCGGCGGGACCATACTGGCTCAGAAACTGCTGTGGCGGTTGTAGCGGTCGAGGCGGGTTGGTGAGGTCTAAGGTTATGGTGGGGAAAGGAGCTGAGGCGGAGAGTGTGGCAATTGTGGAAGTGTATGGGAAGTTATGGTAGAAGGAAGATGATGACGTGGCGGAGGGGTTAGAGAGTGTTTGATGGAGGTTGCTGGTGGTGGAGCCAGATAAGAGCATGGCGGCTGCAGCGGAAGTGGTTGCAGCCATGGCGGTGGCTGACGGTGGAAGAGGATGGTTATGGTTTCCTTCGTACGTTGTGGTCAAGATAGTTGTATCCTCGGCGCATCGTTGGACCTATTTACATAAAACATTTGGACCATCATTTGTTACGTAAAACACATTTGAGTATTCTTTAATTATATGTCGCACTAATCAATAATTATAAATCAACTAGTAATCTTGTCATTCATTAGTTTTAGCGTCACTTTGTTAGCATTTGAAGTCAAACTCCTATAGTGCATGTAGTTGACCCAAGAAAAACAATACTTTTTTTTTCAATACTAATAAATCAATACAATCATATATGTAAAAAAAAAACATTCATTTGAAAATATTACTTATCAAAATTATCATATTCTCTATAAATTCATTTACAATTCACAAATAACTTAATTTTATTACGTATAATAATATTTTCGAAACAAATAAATTTGTAAATCGGACTTATTTCTTAATTATATTCTAACATGATCTTATAAGGGTGTAGTCAAAACTTAATTCTAACCTGTTTACGGACAGGACATCCAACAGCCATAGTGCAACGATAGTAAGCTCGAGGACATGGATTTCCTTTTGCCATTTTCTGACCGTATTTTCTCCATTGACATCCGTCATTTACCTATTAAATAATAATATTGATTTAATTTTCATAACATATATATATGAAAATAAAAAAATAAAAATATTGGTGACATATAGAAAGTTACCGTAGTGGCATCAGATCTAGCTCTAACGGAAACCCTAGCTTTTCTAAAGGGTAATTGATCATGAGGGTTTTGTTGTTCTTCATGATTAGTACTCTTGGTTTGGTCTAGTCTTGGAGTTTTTGGTGATCCTCGGTGCATATCATGATCATCCACATCGTCCGGAGACCGTCGTTTCAAGGTGGTGGCCGGAGTTTCATTGTTCATATCCAATGGTCTTCTGTCCTCCAGAGCTTGTGAGGAACCAGCTTGGGGTATAACCTTTTTTCCAAACAAATTTGTAAGAAAGATATCTTAGTTTTTTAAGAAAATTGAAGTGAAAAGACGTTGAAAGGAAATTCACCCAAACAATACCGTAGTCAGAGCCGGCGCTTGAGGGAAGCATGTGAGGCACATGCTTGCGGCCCTCCATAAATATATAAATTTTTGGCCCCATTTTTGACTAAAATCTTATGTAGCTATGTTGGTTAAGTATAGAGGTTTGGTAACTAGAGGTGGGAGATTCGATTTTCCCAAGTCCTAATCATTTCAATTAATTTTAATTTTTGTTTTTAAGGTAGTTTATAGGCCATAATTTTTTTTCGGCTTGTGGCCCAATATTCTTTAGAGCCGGCTCTGACCGTAGTATCGGTAATTAATTAATTAATCTGATCAACGCATAGTACCGATCGATGCAAAGACAAAATAACACATTAAAACATACACACGTATATATAATAGAAATTTGATTGCCTACCACATATGATTTTACCTCTGGACGTTTTAAAATATTAAAAATCTAAGGCAAATTAAGAATCATATGATGCATATACAGATTGTCGACAAAAAAAAAAATATGATGCATATACATGAGCATACCTAACTATAAACAAATAGGGAAGTTCTTGTTTGTAGCTTCTAAAAGAATAAAGGTTTTTTTTTAGTTTGAAATATCTCAGAAAATAATCCAAAACTTAATTCTCCATTTAATATTAAGTTGTGAAACAATTTTTTCTTTCATTGGCTATTTGTTTCTTCTTCTTCTTCATATTTTATCAAATAAAAGCTGTGCATGCGCGTATTTATCTTCCTTATGACTTTTAATCTGGGCATTTAAGATGAAAATTTGAATACATTACATAGCTAAACTACATCCATTATTTAAGCATATTGCGCATAGTTGTTTTAAATTTTAATTGCTTTTGAGAAAAATAAAACTAATAGAAAAATAAAATTTTGTAACCGGATAAATCCTACACTAAGAGCATACACAGTGGTGTAACTCTGCATCGGGTGTAAGTAATAAAAAAAAGGAAAATAATGAAAAAGTTATCTTAGAAACGAAACCCGCGTGTAGAGTTACACTCGGATGTGGGAGGGTTTGGCTTCTCACTTTCTCTCTTACATTATTTTATTAATAAAACCCCACTAACACACACCCACCCACTTTTATCATTGGCTATGCTCTAAAACCTAAACTAATCTCGGTACCGCGAAGACCAATATAAAGGACTTAAAAAGCCATATATACCATTTATTATTTTTAATCGAAGTCCTGTTATTATTATTATTATTATCGTTTTTATGATTTTATCAAGTACCTCATGTTGTTTATGAAGACCTTCCACTTGTGTTTGTCTTGCCAACAAAACTCTTCTTTGGAGGTCATTGTAACTCTCACTGACCTCATCTAATAAATGCTTCAGCTTGTGATTTTCCTCGTTAAGCCTCTCTAGCTCCAATTTCAGTCTACTAATCTGCAAATTGTATATTAATCATAACCGCAACTACCAAAGTATAAATCAAACAATTCATTCAATAAGCAACCTACAATTTTATATACGGAACTGAAAGATGACCCAACAAAAAAATGTGTATATACATAAATGCAAAAGCGCATTTAGATATATAAACTCACATGATCGGATAATCAATTGTGTGTGTCCACAACAAAATTTACTATCTGATTTTTTTTTGTTAACAAATACAAATAGTTTGGATATAAGTGAATTGTTCTTAATACAAACACTGAAAGTATGTTAACCAAAGAGAAAACACTGAAATTCTATTGAAGGACAAGAAACTAACAACTCATAAATACTTACTTGGGTTTTGGTTGTGTCATCGCCATCATCGCTTGATGTTCCATGACATGAATTTACCAAACCTAATCCATCCTATTATGCCATGGAATTTTATTTACTTACGTTATAATAACGTCCAAACATATATTTATTCATATCTATAATCTAAAAACTTACATTAAAACCAGATGGTCCAATGATCGACGTCGTTCTCACATGACCAAGATCGCTCCGGTGACTTTTGGCTGCGAAGAAATCAACTTCTTTGATAGACTGCTCTTGATGATGTTCCTCATCCGGAGACTCATTCGTTTGATGATCCTTTGAGTCGGAATCTCCCTGGAGAAATTCACCGGAGTGTAAGAACGCAATTTCACGGCGATCTTGAATATGTTCTTCCATTTGCAGACAAAGAGAGATAGAGAGAGAAGAAAAAAAAAAAAGGTCCCTATATATAAAGACTAAATTTATGAGGATAAAGTCTTAGCTAAAGGTTTCCATTTTCAACGAGAAATCACTCTTTTGTCAAATGTTACACATACATAAATGACCAAGCAACTCTTGGGTTTAATTTTATATTAGTTGGTTGGTAATTTCCGGAATTGCATAATAATTTAGTTTATACTAATCACGTAAATTATGCGAAAATGCGAATTTTATTTAGTCATTCTTATGACAAACGTAAAATAAAATTTTACAGCGTTGTATTTTTAATTTCTATTTGATAAATTTTGTTTTGCTGTCAAACATTTGATATTTATGTTTATATGATCTGTTGAAAATTATTTGTGATAAGTATCAGTCTGACTCTTTCTTTTAGCTTTTAATATAGGAAGATCTTGAGTGGTTCTTAAATGTCAGATTTGATCTCAATATTATATGTCTTTATTGTTTGTTATTTTTTTTCTTTCTAATTTTGTTTAGAACTATTAGAAAATTATACTATATGCAGCCAGAATAAATGCCTTTGAGATTGATTTATTCCTCGATATATAGCGTCAGAAATGTACACGTGTCAAAGAGTTAAAGGGTAGGATGGAAAGAGTGACGTGTAAATCGGCGATAAATGTCGAGCGTAATCAATTAATTGTTAACAGTGACGGATTTCCGTTAAGTGGCCGTTAGTGGAAAGTTGACGGAGAAAGACGACGTGAATAAGACTCAGTAAAAGACGAGAAGCGTTGTCTTGAAGTCAACGGAGTTGACGGCACGGCATAACGGTGGCACTATCGGACGGTGAAGAAACGTTAAAAGAGAGTGGGACCCACAAAAGGAAGAAAAAGTACCTAATCTCTCCAACTTGGACCATTCATTGAAACCGGAGCTAACTACCAAAGTCTTAACCCGTCATTTATTTTGCCTTTTTCCTTACAAAAAATAGTTAATACCACATTTTATAGCATAGTTTTTAAGTTTTAAAAACTAATAATCAAATTTTCTTAATCTGTCATCGTCAACGAGCTCAGAGAAGACCGTCGTGCAAGGTCATTAAAGTATATTTATATAGATATTATGATTTGGTTAGTTATTTGAGATTCAGATTTGATATCCTTATTGATTCGTTTTATAATTACAAACATAAACTTTTATAAACTTGTTCATTGTTCACTACTATACAGAGTTTTAGATTTGGGTATGGGTAGATGTTCACAATTGTTTATCATGTTATTACGTATTTTTCACATTAAATGCATATAATTATAATTTTATTTGGAAAAATAGTATCATACAAATAGTTAATTTCAAAAGAGAACTTGTTATTTGTTAAGTAGCATTTTGGATTTCGTTTTGTTCAAGATACAAACCCGAGAGGAAAAAATCTTTTGATTGGAAATTGACATACAATAGCTTCTTTAGTCACAGATCAATATTTTAGCTAAGGATATTTTTCAATTCAAGAAAAATAAATATATTTGGACCGTCCTAACTCCTAAAGGCTACTATATTTTGTGGCGCTGAAATTTTTGCTCCTTGATTGTTTAATCTGGATAAAACTTTTTTCTTTGAGCATTAATACAACTAGACTTACTAAAACGATTTTTGATTTAAAAAAGAGAAGGGATTATTATCTAAAATGCCATTTTTTTGGAAAAACTTACGAAAATGCTATTTTTTAATAGTTTACGGATTTTGCCCTTTTTTAACACTTAAAAATATACGTATTTATGATTTTTTTGCAATAATACGTATTTTATACCAAATACTAAACCCTAAGAACAAATGGAACCGACTAAACCCAAACATAACGAGTGAAACGCATATTAAATCATATTTTGGAGCTTGAAAAAGGGCAAAATCCACAAACTATTCAAAAAAGGGCAAAATCACAAATGCCATTATAAAAAAGGACAAAATCCGTAATTAATTCAAAAGAGAAACCATTGAGTCAGGGATTGTCAAAATATAGGAGGGACAAAACCTGTTGTTGAAACGATTGTCAATCATCTGAAATAGTTGGTTAGTTGTGCAAATTTTTCTTCTTATATATTCCCTCTGTTTCATAATATAAGTCGTTTTAGGTAAAAACACGCCGATTAAGAAAATCTACTTTTTAAAAGTTCAACCAATCATAAAAGAGACTGCATAATATAAATAATCATAAAATATTAAAGTAATATATAATTTGCATTGAAACTCGAAAACGACTTATATTGTAAAACAAAAAAAACTTTATCCAAAACGGGAGAGAATTTATATCAGTCATTTAGAATGAAACAGAAGGAAATTTCAAGTTTTTTGGTTATCCTCATTCAAATTCGTTTAGTTAGTACGTATGCATAAAATTGTTACAAAAATTGAAGGAATTTGACTGTTTCCTATTGGTTGAGACGTTGAGTATTAAATGCTGACACATAAGTGAAATATTCTACACCGTATATATACATTTCTAACATCACATTTTTCCAAAATCAAAATCATTATTTATTTATAAAAATATTCTTGTACATGTACATAATTTTCAAATAATTACACATAACTGACTTTTGTTTTGTCTATTTTTCGTTACACGTTTCTACTCGTCGACCAGTCTATTGTGATTAGAAAATCAATTCTTATGAGTATGTTAATTTAAATGTCGACATAATCTATCAAAATATATGGAAAATAATATAATGAAGATGTGGAAAGAACTTTGGTCAATGATATAGAAGATGCCACGTTTCCCAGTTGACACTGAAATCTACAGCTGGAAGGTCCTCTTCCTTAGGGTTTTATTTAATTATTATATACGAAAAAATCGAAAAACCACATTTCATAATTCATAAACTTATAATATGAGCATATATTAAAATTTGAACATTTGGATACAAACTTTTTAAAAAAACATTACAATCAAGTTTTTAAGTATCCATCCATTATCCATCTACATTTCAACTTTCAAGTCGTGATCTTTGCAAGTTTCCATGTGAGAACATTTCGTATCAGCAAGTCAATGATAAGTTTAAATATATTTTAAATAATAAATGCAATTTGGTTTCGTCTTTGAAGTGATTAGAAAGAACAGCAGTAAAAAATTATTAAAATAGCAATGTAAATAGTAAAGTTCTTTTACAGTGACCAAAATACTATTATTTATTTATTTGTGAATGTTATTGATCGATCTATAATCTTTATCGCCTTTTTTTTGGTTGTTAGTACTTAATTTTATCGGTCTTCTTTAAGTTCTTTTTTGAGAAAACATAAATTAAAAATGATAATTTAAGGTAAGATAATGTTAACTAATGTAATGCCTTGTCCATCTCCCCTTTATTTCTAATCAAACTAATTAACATGTGTCTAATGAATAATATCTTAAAACCCATTATCAGTAATTATATAATATGTAAAAGTGAAAGACTTGTTTTCCTCACAATTTTCACGTGAAATGATATGAAAATACCAAATACGATATACTGATGCAAAATTATTGATAAATTACAACACCTTTTTTTTTATAAGTATGTAAACATCATTAGGAAGGAATGTTGAGGTTTCACAAAAGCTTAATCTATACTTTACTACTTTGCCAAGAAAAGAAAAAAAAAACAAGGCGACATAAACTTGAGAAAGGTGAGATTCATTGTAACCAAAATTGCATCAGATTGCTAAAATTTTGGAGTTTCCTTCTTGCAAAACTTGAGTTTCCAATTTATGGAGTTTGTCATTTTGTTTTTCGCTCTTTCTCTCTCAATACCTTGCTCGGTCATAAAACTCGTCATGAGTAGGAAACTAAGAGTGCCTTCACATACCAGACGAGCTACAATTAGAGTTTGGCGAAATGACACATCTATAACTAACTACCTTTTCTTTCTTTGACATATAGAAGTAACTATTATTCGCAAAACTTGAACATATATGCCGAAGATCTAGACTGCTTTTGGACTGAAAAAGATTATAAGTTGAATATTGAATACTTTCAAACATAAACAAAAAACTAAAATTGGGAATGGGGAAGATATCGAGTAAACGAAAACGGCGTTTAGGTAAAGCCCAAAACAAGCAAATAAGAGAAGAGTATAAAAAGTCTACAAATTAGTCCCACACTTTGCCCACACGTTTGGGAGGAAAAATAAATAAAGAGGCCAAATAATACTCCATTTTTTCCCTCATTTTTTTTTCAATTATATTATTCTTCCAATATATAACGTACAAAATACGTTACGTACTTATATGTGTGTATAATAGAAATCAAATAAGAGGATTTAATTAATCATGCAATATGGTCCGCGGCTATTTTCTCGTAGTTGTTTACTAGTGACTAGTGAGGGATCGTGGAATTCTAGCTCGATTTATTAATTAAGTTTGACCTATAGCTACTTCTATTTACTCTCTTCACATGCATGATGCATATATAGAGATATATATATATATATAGTATTATATTAATGAAAATATATTATAGATAATCATAAGTAACCCAATACTATTATACAGCTTTGGATCATGTACCTACAAGTTATAAAGGTTTGCATCAATTAAGTAAAGTGTAGTGATTTTACTGTTGATATGTTTAAAAAACAATTGTGAGAGAATATGGATTGGATTTTTGAAGTATGTATATTTTTATTTGTATTTATTTTGAAAATAATGCAGAAGCGACGAGGTCCAAATTTAAATGGGACCAGCATGTAGGGGGGTTAGCCATCAAATTGCCAATCTTTTTCGTAGCAACTTTGAAAAGGGAGCGACCTCTTTAAATTCATATCCACAATTCATTCAAAGATTCACACTCACTCCCGAATTAGTTTAAAGAATTCATACGTTGATTATGCACATCACGACGCATGTGTTCGTTCACTACGTAAATAAATATGTAAGAATGTGTATATCTCTTAGTTATATTTAAATGTAATTTTTATATCGCAAGTGTTGTTGTTTTAAAAAAAAAAGCTAAGCAGATTTTCTTATTAATTATCAAATGTACACGATAGTTTTCTTTATATACACATTCATATGCTAACATGAATTTAGTGAGCGAAATGCTTATAATACAAATATTATAATGTAGGAGAAATTGAAGTGTATATATTATTGAGACATCATATGCGAATTTTTCTTTTTTTTTTTTTTTGTGGACAACTGGGAAAAGATTATTGTTAACTTTTCATGCTTAAGTTTATAAGTAACTTAACCCACCGATTCGCACGTACAATTAAAGACGATAATATAAACTTTTATATACACATGTTTGTATGTGTGCATTTGTCCACATGGTCTAACAAAAGTCAAAGGACCATTTAATTGTCATCGATATATTGGATTTAATCATTTTTGCCCTTTGTTAGGTTTAATCATATACTTTGATTCTTAATATTCTTCTTCCGGTCCTTTTTTTTTTTTTGGTCAACTTCTCTCAAACCAAACTTCTATATCTATATATACATTTTTGAAGTACACTTAAAAATAAATTTATATATACATTTTTGAAGTACACTTAACAAATAAATCCTAGTTAAGTCTTTACAAAGAATGCCATTATCATAAATTTTTATCTATTAATTAATATTACAAAATATTTTTGAAAAAATATTTTAGAAACTATGGCTTCCAAATATAGTAACAAATTGATTTTGTTTCTAAATTTTCCTAAAACATCTCTACCTAATTTAAACATTATTGTATGATTCCTCTTTCACTTTTATATGATCTTATAGTAATTTATTTTGAATTTATATAAAATACATATAATTAATAAAATAATAAAAAGTTTATGCATATAATGTGATTAAATTTTTTTTAAACGAACATATATTACTTAATTGATGAAGAAAAAATATGTGTACAATGTCTCACATTGCTTAAAAAATTGGGAAATGATTTAGAATCATACTATAAAAAAGACCAAAATAATTCTGAATACAAAACAAAGTATACCACGGGTGAAACCTAGAATTAAAAATAAAGATATAATTATATAATCTTAAATACTAAATAAACCAAACAAATATAATTTAAAATTTAAAAATTTTAGTTTAAAAAAATCGACCCACAATATATCGCGATTGATGAAGAAACAATATGTGTACAATGTCTCACATTGCTTAAAAATTTGGAAAATGATTTAGAATCATATTATAAAAAAAATCAAAATAATTCTGAATACAAAACAAAGTATACCACGGGTGAAACCTAGAATTAAAAATAAAGATATAATTATATAATCTTAAATACTAAACAAACCAAACAAATATAATTTAAAATTTAAAAATTTTAGTTTAAAAAAATCGACCCACAATATATCGCGGGGTAAAATTTTTTTGATGCAAAATAATATCAAATTAATATAATAGTCCATGATTATAAATGTCTGCCAATATTAACACTATATCATTTCTACACCTACAACTCTTCTAAGTACACATATTTCGACGATATTAGTTATAATATAAAATAATTAAATGAAATTTTTTTATTTAATATCAATTTAAAAATCCACTAAATTATAAAATATTATATAAAATTTATAAAATATAATTTTGCCCGCGGTGTACTGCGGATTAAATCCTAGTTAAGAGACAATACTGAAGTTTTATATATATGAACAACTAAAAAGGAAATCAAACTTAGATACACCTTCCAAGCGGTAACTACTCTAAGTTGCTTCACTTATTTAGTTCTTAAATGCACATGTGCCATTTCCGGAACATGCTCTTTTTTAATCTATAAATACTTGAAGTTGTTTTGAGAGAAAGAACAAGCCTTAATTTAAACAAAAAAATCATATCACAAAGAGGAGTTTACATTGATAAAGATTGCTCATTGCTATTGTCATTTTTTGGATTGTCTTAGTTTTGCCAGTCTGTATATGGGTTTTAAGTTGCAATTGAAATTATAGATAGAACCAAGTATTAATTGGTCTAGTAGCATAGATACGTCCTTTTTATCGTGCTTTCCTGGGTTCGAGCGATGTTTGGGAAGAACTCATGTATTTCTACTATCAAAATTTTAAAATTCTAAGTCTCATTATTTTGGTTTGAAAGAGTTCTTCAAATGTCATACTCTTGACTTTGATGTATATAGAAAAAAAAATTAAAGAAGGAGAGTATAACGCCTTAATTACCCAAACCTAAATAAGAAATCAACTTATATATAATCTAATATACATTTTGAAATTCGAACTATTAAAACTTGAACTTAACCTCTTAGCTAGTGTATGCCAAAAAAAAAAAAAGAAGAAGCAAGAACATAAAAAGGATAAGATGTAGATATTTATCTCGATGATATATGTTCTGCGTAGTTCCAAATTTAATAATTTAATCCATGACAATTAGGGTTTGGTGAGTGAAAACGAAAGCCAATTACTGACTAATTGAACAACTTTTCTTACCCAATAAAACAAATATAAAAGAGTGAAGATATATGGCTTATTAGGGTTAGGAATATCGCTGTAAACTATTATCAACAGACGTAAAGTTTGTGAGAAGTGGTCACTCAAAATATTTTCTCCCACTAATACTTGGTTCTTGAATTCACATGATCACACTAACAATAGAAGATCATAAGATTTTTTTTTTTTTTTTTTTGATAACTCAAGAAGATCATAAGATTTAATCATGAATATTGTGGTATATTTGAAAAATATGGTTTCAAGAGCATCATACCGCATATCATTAAAAAAAAAATTAATGATTTTTTTTCACATGTGAATGCAACTCTATTTCCGGGATTCCCTTTGTTACTACTTACTACTACTACTCAAGTACTCATTTGGTCAAAAAGACGGTAAAAGTAAAACTAAATTGTTTTTCTTTGCTTTTGGCTTTTATTTTGACATTTGAACTCAACCTGATTATTACAATCCTATAAATTTTATAATTTAAAAAAATAAAAGTTGTCTAAATCAATGACTAACAATGTGAACATTTTCTCTTGTACGAGTGCAGTTACATTTACAGTTTCGAAATTAATTTAGTTCTACTGGGCTGAAAAATTCGAAACTGGGCCTTCGATTGTCATTGTTAAGCCCCCTATAATACTTGGTAAACAAACTGGTTGTTTCAGCCCAAATCTCATTATGTATGGAAACGAAATGCATTTTGATAATAAACACTTGGAATGTTTGTTTATAATTCTAATTACGATCCTCCATCGAAAATCGAAAGTATAAAGTGAAAAATCCAATCATTGCTCATTGATTTAAAATTAGAATCCGATGAAACTTAACATTATTTTTCTCTAATCATCGTTCATGTTTGATACTGATAGTTTTCTCTTGTATGATTTATATTATGTGATTAGATATATATTCGAGATTTCGATCTAAGCCCACTTGAAAGAACTATGTATACATATATTAAAAAAAATTTGATTGTCAAACCTACATAAATTATACACAGCGTTTTATCATATAAAAAATGGACGTGTAAACTAAAGCAATGGTGATCACTTCACATCGCACCAATGTAGTGGATCTAAACGTCTCTTTTGTGTAATCACGTGGTCGAATTAATGGTCAATCATTTAGCAATTAACCCCAAAAAAAAAAAAAACAGAATAATAAGTAAAGAGCTTGGATAAAAAAGTCGGTTTAGTGGGAGGAGAAGTGGGAATGAAATGATGTTTCAGGGTTCAGGCTCGTCAGGGAAGTGATCCAAAGCCTAATATGCTATTTGCTAAGAGTTTAAAAGAAAAAGATCATCAACCCTTTGAGTAGTGTACTAGGGTTGGAACTTTTCGAAAGACGACAATAATCTCGGATAGATGCATGCTTATGATGTGGTGGGCATGTCTCCATATAATTGCATTGCATTTGTTGTCGGCTTCTAGTGATTAAACATTAGCTCGTCTACTGAAAAGTTGGAGAAGGGAATCAGAAACTCGTACCCTACATATGGTTGCTCTTCTGCTGGTTTAATAGTTGGGATTGATCGTGTACTAGTCTTTCTTAAAGGCCAAGAATTTTGACGTCGTGGTTAATAGAAAATTGGATCTACTATATATATGTTGGCGATTTACTGTTTTTATTTACAAATAATTGGATCTTGATCTTATTAAAAAGTCGTCACGACTTGGTCCAATTCATATCACAAGTTGCTCGGCACTTTACATGTTAGTTAGCCACCGACCTCGAACTTTGAAATTTTATATTTCTTAACTTCAAAAACAGTCTTTGATAGTTTTGTAAACTAATATTTTATCTCAATTTTTTGTATAGCATAGTATTCAAAATGAAACCAAAATTTTAGCATAATTCAGTTTGGTACACTTTCTGTTTTGATTAATATTTACTTCTTAATAAATTACTCTATATTTTAAATTCCAAAGAATTTAAACTTATGTTTGAATTTGGTTTAGTACATTCCAAAGAAGTTTAATTTCCCACATTCAAATTCATGTTGGTCTTCTTCTTAATGTTTTTTTTTTTTTTGTCTTCGTCTTCTTCTTAATGTTATTCAATTGAATTCAGACTGAAATGGTTCAGTTTATCTCGTTTGAAATATATATCATACATTTTCTATAAATCAAGAATGGATCTTCTTTAAAAAGTGGGAAAAAAAGAAGAAGAAGAAGAATGGGTCTTCTAACAATGAAAAAGAGAATAGACCCGCAAATAATTGCAACTATATAAAATGAAAACAATAAACTCCACTAAAAAAAAAGTCAAAACGTTGACCAAACCAAAAACATGTAACTAAGTCTTCCACTACTACATCTCTATATAACAACAAAGCCAAAACCCCATCTTCTCACACAACACAAGAAAGAACCAATATGGAGAAACAAATTTCTCTATTGCTCTGCCTCGTCCTCTTCATCTTCTCAATATCATCCTCGCTCCATGAAACCGAAGCTCGAAAACACAATAAATATAAACCCGCACCGATCATGAGCCTAGTCCCAAGACCTCTCTATCACCAAATCTTCATCCACAAGGACAACAACGCATGCCCTGCAAAAGGTTTCTACCCCTACGAAGCTTTTGTGGAGGCTACAAGGTCCTTCCCGAGGTTTGGGAGCGTAGGAAACTCTTGGACAAGGCGGCGCGAAGTGGCTGCGTTTTTGGCGCAGATATCTCACGAGACAACAGGTGGTTGGGCCACGGCACCGGACGGACCGTACGCGTGGGGATTATGTTTTAAAGAGGAAGTGAGTCCACAGAGTAATTATTGTGATGCCTCTAATACGCAGTGGCCTTGTGTTCCTGGCAAGTCTTACAAAGGAAGAGGTCCCATTCAACTTTCTTGGTAAGTCTAGAATATTAATTATTAACCAATAACCATTTATACCTATTTATTTTCTCGAACAACCAGGTTATTTTCATGCATTCACTGATAGAAATCCATGAAAATGTTAGAACAGTATACAGTTCTATCATTTTGCAAATTACCAACTAAATTTTTTTAACATCTTCGTTATTTTCTACAGTTTTCATATCCATATATCATTCTTAGGCTCTTAGCGTTTGGTTAATTTTACTCTTTTTTGGGATAAATAGGAATTACAATTACGGACAGGCGGGTCGAGCATTGGGTTTCGACGGTTTACAGAAACCAGAACTTGTAGCCAACAACTCCGTTTTAGCTTTCAAGACAGCTCTTTGGTTTTGGATGACTGAACAGACTCCTAAGCCGTCCTGCCATGATGTTATGGTCAACCGATACAGACCGACGAAAGCAGATAGGGCAGCAAACCGGACTGTCGGTTATGGTTTAGTCACCAACATCATAAACGGCGGTTTAGAATGTGGGATTCCAGGAGATGGACGGGTCAGTGACCGGGTCGGGTATTTCCAAAGATACGCTCAGTTGTTTAAAGTCACCACAGGACCTAATTTAGACTGCGAGAACCAAAGACCCTTCTCCTAAATTAACTATAAACTCAAATCTATGTATCAAATGAAATTGAAGTTTAATATCTCAGTATTTAATAAAATTCACGCAAGCTGAGAGATTTAATGTTTTACATTGACTTGTAAGCGTACCGTGACATGAAGTTGTTGACCTCAGTCGCGGTTTCATATGCGCCTTCTACACACCGGCCTAAGGCTACACCAGCAACGTAATTGCCACCCAAAAATAGCCCTTCGTAGCCCGAAGACGTTAGAGATGATTTAGCCGTGTCAAGGATATCAAAGTGACCAACTAGAAACTGAGGAATGGCTTGAGGCCATACCCTAACTCCTAATTTAAGTGGATCAGCCGAATTAGGCTTAATTAGCATTTTCCTCAAATCCCTGTCAACTGCTTCCACTAACTCACCTTCGGACTGCGGAATCAAAACCCAAGAGAGAGAGAGAGGAAAATACCAGTTCTTAGGTTTACTTGTTTGAAAAAGATGTACTACAAGTGTTTGTTGTATTTTACCTTGGACAGAATCCCGGTGTTTGTAGACCCGCCAATGTAGTTCAACAGCAAAATTCTTCCGGGCGGTGCTCGATTTGGAAAGAGCGAGGAGCTGTATATAGTTCCTGAAGAAATCGTAGCAACCGCATGAAGATTCTATGAACATTTTGACATAATTGACAATGAAAACTACAAGATATATATACCTAATGTTTCAACTCCTTGCGTGCGTGGATGCAATTGCCCGAAACCCTTTAGTTCACCATCTATTAAACATTCTGTTCGGATTGCTTCTTCCGGGTACGAGACAGAGACTGCTGCAACTGGTGGATAATATAGTTTTGAGAGTGCATTTGCTGCAGATTCCTGAGAAGATAACAGTTGCAGCACGCGATTTAAGAACCCATATTTGTTGAATCTACGAATTTTTTGCAAATTCCTAGTTCCCAAAACGAGAAACTTACAGAAAGAGGGCGCAAGAGACCGCTTGCAACATGAGATGGCACAGTCATTACAACACTTTTGCTCTGCACGGAAACTACACCATCTGGAGTCTCATAGGTTAAGTTGTATCCTCCGCTGTCCAGCTTAGTGATACCTGAGAGCTTCCAAGACAACTTAACTTTGCTACCTAACCTGTCAAATTGCAAAAGATTTCAGAAAACATTTGAAAGTTTTTCCCTTTTCCCTTCCAATAGAGAGAGACAAGTAATGATACCTTGCTGATATTGCTTCTGGCAACATTCGAAGTCCCTTCCTGAAAGAACCAACTGTTTGGCCCTTTGGTTTTGGCAGGCGCCTGAAGAAGCAGGTTGAGATGTTTTACAAATATATATATCAAGGGACAAAAGACCCCAAGCAACTGAAAAGTTTATGTTACTCACGGGTCTCGCTCTGCCTTGGGAGCGTTTTTCCTCTCCTGAATAGCCTTAAAAGTACCACCTATGATGCTTCCACCATTTTGCTCTAGTTTCCAAACCTTCCCAAACGCTGCTTTCATACTCAGTTTCGAAGGATCACCCGCATAAACACCTAAAAACATTGAAATCTAAAGTATTAAGGGTGCACTAGAACAAAATGAAATCTGCTAGACAATCAGATTCGCAGAGTGCATATGAAGTTCTATATGTCACTCACTCTACCTGAACAAAACGGTTCAATCAGGCGCTCAAAAACCTCATCACCAAGGTTACGCCGTACAAACTCCTCCACGGATTCTTCACGACCCTGTCACCTTTGCCAAACTCTAAGAACATGAGCAGATTCTACCAACATAAAGCCTAAAAAATCGTATTGATCTAAAGGTGGTAAGAATACACACTGGAGGTGATGGTCGAATGCCAAGTGCACCAAACCCAGCTCTAATCTTCCCACCAATGCTCATCAAATCGAAGAACGGTAAGTCTGTTAGCTTCGATGGAACCGGCCTCAATTTCCCATCCCACAACACAAACCTTGGCGCAGTAGGATCTCCCAATACCAAATCATCCTTCAAACCACTATCTACCTGAACTAACCATAAACAGAGAAAGGCTAAATTCACAAATCTCATCTACAACATTCAAGCAATTCAATTACATTTTTCTCAGTAACAACGAAACTTTCACAATCAAGAACTTACCACCATAGTGAGCATAGGATCAGACGGCTGAAAACTATTAGGACCTTCTTCCCAGAGAAAACCATTCTCTTCACGAGTGATAATGTTGCCTCCAACACGATCCTTAGCCTCAGTCACAATCAAATTCGGTGTAGCGTTAGGATGCTTCGTAGCAAGCGCCTGCGCGATGCAAAGACCACTGATACCTCCGCCGACAATCACACAATCCGCCGTGACGGTGGTGCCTCCTCCGCCGCTAATTTTGGAAGATCCGACGATTGGTCCACCGGCCACCGAACAACGGAGCTTAAGAGGCTTATAGACATTTAATCGGAGATTCGGTTTCGAGAACGACGGAAGAAGCGATTGAGTCGTCGGACGGAGAAGAGATAACTCCATGGAAATCGCAGAGAATTCAGAATTTTGTCAGCTTCTTGCCTTTTTTCAGATTGGGTAATCTTCTTCAGACGAAAGAAGAAGAAGACGACGAGGAATATTCACCTGCATTTACTCACACCATAAGTGTGTGCACACCATATACTTTTCTTTGGATTTGGGTTTTGTTTGAGTTGGGTTTGACTCAAATAACTTTTATTGGCCCAAATTTGTAATAAGATAGTTATAGGCCCAATAGAGATATAACCAAACCTTGAAACCCATTACATTTTTGCTTTGCTTTGCTTTATTAAGTTCAATACGTATTATCATAATGAATGACCCTTTATTTGGAAAAAGATGTTTGGTTTTATTTTCTAATTAATGTTTGTTTTTATTTATTTATTAATTTGGTAATAGTATTAGTGACCAAATTTTGATGTAAATATTAGTTAGTTATCATTGATAACTTATCATTGATAACTTATCATTTTTTTTAAACTAGTTTAATTCTTATTCCATTAATTAATTACTACAACATATTAATTCTAGCTATTTAACCATAAAATATTCAGTTATTTAAATATCTATACAAATTTACCATCAATTATCCATGAGAATCATGTTTGTTGTCAAAGTCCACTATTACCATTTAAACC